AAGACTTATTTTCTGCATTAAATCTTATTTTATATTAAATCTATGTTAACTATCACATTACACTAACAAACTCTATAGAAAGTTCGTGAGCCACCACTACAAAGTTACATGAGCGCACTCATAAGGGGCAGTCAGATAAGTCCTTGGTGGACAAATTTTCTTTCACAAAATAAATACAACTCATATAAAATAATTCATTGACATACAATATTTAAATAATGAAAAAACTAGCCCATAACTATAATAGAAAATCATATCTAGAAAGTGGTAATATGAGGTAATAACTAGAAAGTGTGCACACAAAAAAATAAGAAAAAGATGATAGCCTAACTAAAATTCCAATTCAATAATGAAAAAACTACTTCAAAAGTTACAGGTTCTCTCTTTTATCATATCTCGAGGGCAATATTACAATTAGCAATAAAAGATGTCATTAAGAAGTAATCACTTGCTATATTTAAAAGAAGTATTTACTAAACTACTAAAGATAATAAGGAGGCTCCGTCAGTAGCACACTGCATCATAATATTTATGGGAGATTCTATATTCAAAACATATGTATAAATAAATGGCGTTTTTTTGTCTTTCAATGTAGATGACAACGATATTTTAAGTGAATCATAAGCACTTTAAATAATATTTTGTTCAACATGATCTTTTAAGAATTGGGCACCTAAATTATCAAGTAGTGTTATTGTTAACCTTATACAGTCAAATTCCTCGTTTCTTAGAATTATCCTCATAGCACAAAAAAGTACTTTACTCCAATTGAGAATTCGGATCTATTAATAAAATAAATGTTGTCTAGCACTCTTTATACTAGGTAGTGAAATATCTGAGATACATATCTCTTCTGGGAGCCTCCAAAAGGAAAATACAGCCTTAGCTTCAATTTTGAGCCTACAAGGGATTTGCCTCCATCCTTGAGATCCCACATCCTTCTCTCATCACATTTATCGTTCAAAATCAAAACTTATGATGAACCAAGCATTACCTTATCGCATTATTTAACATATTTTTAGTCCCATTTCATCAAAGTTGATTTCACCTCCTTATTTATGTCTAGCACTCATTCTTCTTCAATGCAACTCCAAGCACTAAGCTCCTTATTTATGTCTAGCACTCATTCTTCTTCAATGCAACTCCAAGCACTAAGCTCTTCACAATGAATCCTTGCCCAAATGCTATCATGCCCATATATATATATATAGATTACTTTGAATATATTTTTTTTGCAAAATGAATATTTCAAAAGATCAATATTTTAAGCAAATAGGAACATGAAGCGGCATCCTTATTCCTGAAATATCCGGTCAATCACGCGATCAACAATCTAACAAATCCACACAACCATTTATTCCACGTCGGAACCAATCCACCAACCAAATCATCAGTTTACTCCTTCACTTAATACCCATCCGTGGCTTCAATAAACTTTAGTCATCCGTGACTCACATTAACTTCACCCCGGTCAAAACGTTCTTAACCGGTCATCCTGTACGTCACCACCCCCTTGTCCTGCCGCCTATATATCTCCCACATCCCCGCACTCATTCCCCTGCAAACCCAAAACAAAAAATGGGCAGCTCCGCCTCCACCGCCTCCACACCCGTCCAATCTCCCACCGCCATGGTGATCGACGCCGACGGTTCCCTCTTCGAATACTCTCACCCCGTTGCAGTATACCACATACTCGACCTCAACCGCCGCACCTTCTTCCTCTCCGACGCCGACGAACTGCTCTACGGCCATCAAGTTCAAGCCTTGGAGCATAACCATCTTATCCAGCTCGGAAAGATTTACTTTTTACTGCCGGAGAAGATGCAGAATCATGTGCTGACGGCAGGGGAGATGGCGGCATTGGCGGCGAGTGCGAGCTCTGCAATCGCCAGCGCTGGTTTGAGGAGTAAGAAGAGCGGCGGTGATGGGAGGAGGAGGGGGAAGAAGGGTGGTGTTCAGGTTATGCCGATTATTGCGGCGATGGAGTCCGAGGGGTATGAGAGGTTTAACGAGAACAGGGTTGGGAGTTGGAGAACAGAGAGAGGTGGGGAAGTGAAGCAGAGGGATTTGGGGAGGGGGAAGAGTGGGATTAAGGGGACGTTCATGCCAAGGCTAAGTTCTATAGAGGAAGTTTGTGATTGATTCTCCGGCAATGTTTAATGGTTATCGCCAATATGGAAGAAGCTCCATTTTCTTTTTTTTTTTTGCGGTGTACAGATTGATGAATTAGGTGGTGTTTTGAGATTGTGATGAGTTTGGGAATGGGAAATTAAATAATGTATGATTTTGAATGATATTTGATTAGTCTGCTGAATATGAATTTAGATGTGATTCGTACTCATTGTTGATTAAGGAAATAGAGCAGAAGTTTCATTATTCCTGTTTTGGCTTCCCTTAAATCTTATTAAAAAAAAAAAAGAAAAAAAAGAGGAAAATTTACATATAGGCCCTTAAATTTTCATGTATTTACATATCTGGCATATAAAGTTTAATTTTTTGTATATATGCCGCCTTACCTATTAATAACAACTAATTTTTTGTCGAAAATTGGGTACCATTAGTGACTAAAGATTTTAAATATTAGCCTCTAGTAAATTCTTATATTGCAGCAATCTAGCGTTTTCACACCGCACCTACCATTAGTTAGAGCTTTCTGGCAGCGGTCTAACTTTTCCAAGAAATTGCAGCAATCTAGCGTTTTCACACCGCACCCACCTAGGTGCGGTGAGAGCTTTCTGGCAGCGGTCTAACTTTTCCAAGAAAATAAAAATTTTTAATAACCACAGCACCTAGCTTATCAGCAAATTATTTTTAATCAGCTTGTCATCAGATTATTCAATAAGCTGCACCTGCCCCAAACAAATCCTTAATTTAAAGGACAATAAAATACTTAAATAATATATTCAATGAAAAATTAAGAGTTTGAATTTTAGAAAATTAAATGGTAGTTATTTTTATATTTAAATTTTTTTACATATACTATATTCATGTGAATTTAATATTAATATTTTTGCAAGTAAGTTGGTTTTCAAGACATATAAATGAGTTAGGAATGGGCATTTCCATGCATGCCACCCCATATATATATATACATATATGTATATATCTTAACACCTAGACTTGTTACATTCATACCATCAAAATTGTTAATATCACATGGGGGCAAAACATATAAAAAAATATAACTTTTTAAACTTTTATGCAATTGAATACACCTTTTAAAGTTAGCTGTTTTTGAAATGTAAATACATTGAAATTGAGTGGCATACATGTATATGTTCCAAGAGAAGAAGAATTAGAGTGAGCCCAAACAACAACAATTTCCAAACAAGACATGATTTATTTTGAAACGGCATCAACAATAAATCATAAAATATTTCCCTCAATTTGTAGTTATAGAAGGAACAATTTTCTCCATGTAGTCCTTTCAGATGACGTGATAGGCTTTTTCAAGTGCAGTAGATTGAAGCATCGCATTAAGTTCCTTAACCAAAAAAATTAAGGTGGTCTGTCATTTGCTGGGGTTGTTAACACAATAAAATAAAAAAAAATTACTCTTAGGCTTAATTATATTTATAATGAAGAAAATCGGTGCTGCACATATCACCACCTTTGACTTCAAAAATTAAAAAAAAGCTATACAATCTATAAACAGTGCAACATGTAAGCACTTATCACCACATATTAATCTTATGTTCTTTCATTTCTAACCCTCTCATTTATATTTATAGAGCTTTGGTGCCATAAATTTTAGTTGTAGTATTACAGATTTGAGTGGTAAGCATGTAAATGCCAAGGTTTAAATGTTAAATATATAAAAGTAAAATCTAT